CCATTTTGTTCAAGATATTTTCCGCGAGAGATTCCGTTCAAAATATTCTATATTTAAACTACCCGTTATTGAAAATCATATTATAGTTATTTTATAAAATTAAGTCAAATTTATGGAAGAAAATAAAACTATATACTATACACATAGGTGTGTATGTGTATATATATATAATACAAATTAAAAAGAAAAATATTGTATATATGTGTGTATATAATTTTTTTTTTCTTAGTTTGTAATTATATCTTATCAAAGAATAATAATAATCGTCAAAAAAATATTAAGTAGCACGTTAATACCTATCATTGCAGCAAATATTTTTTTTGTTCTTCTTTTTTATTTAATAATAACCAAACTAGAAAAAGTTTTAAAAAACATTGTGTTTTAGTTCAATTCAATAAATGTAACCGCGAAAGAATGCAAAGCTATAGATGTATGACAGGAAAGGGATCCCTTTATACTTTATATTATACGAAGAGCGGAGAACGCCAGTTAACCGGAAATGTTACAAACACGCGAGCATCGTTGCGTTTATTGTTGCATTATTGGTGTATGTAATAAAATAGTATTCATATTTGTCTACGTATTAATGCTTGCTGCAGGTATTATTTTGTTGCTATTTTAATTGCAAGTTGCACTATGTAACAATTTTAAAAGAGGAGAAGGGCACACGCGTGATCAAATATTCTACAGGTATTCTCAGATTTTACACACAGCACTATATAAAAAGTTTATTAAAATATTTAAAACTAAAAAAAAAAAAATCATTAAAATATTTTAAATATGCAATGTTTGTGAAATCAAGTAATGGAAAAAGAATGTTGAAACGGATAAATTATCAGTAAAAATGATCTACAAAATAAATAAATATTTTAATTATCAACATTAAGAAAAATAGAAATATATGTTCTCAGTTTTAGAAAATATCATAATAACCCACATTAATGTACTTACAGAGATAAGAATGGATATGCAGCGATTATTCATGAATGAGTAATCATTTGCTGATTTACCGCTTAATCTATTTAGAATACTATATATCACTCTGATGCAAGATGTGAGTGTAGCGCGCTATATCTCTAATAAAGAGGATTAGGTGTCCTGGAAGAGGCAGGAACAAGCAGTTGTTCTAATCTCTGTAAATGGATATTTCTCTTATTCGCACGTTTCTGCCGGTGTCGGGAGGGCTAGTTGTAGAAAGCACTAATCGAATGATTAAGAACAGCGTGCAGACCGCACAGCTGTCTCGGCCGATTCAGCGACAACACTGTCTCTAAATGCTTCCAGGTCGGCGGTTCTTGCCCTCGCACGATTAACTTATGACCCCACATAATCCTCTTAAAAGCTCAACAGAGTGCCAAGACCTTCGGCATCGCTCTTGGCACGAATAAAACGGCGTAGCTGAAATTCTTCCTATGTAAAAGCTGTATAAACGCGGGATTTATGTTAAAAAAAAAAAGAAAACCGAGCGATGAGTTAAATTAAGTAAAGAAGAGAGATTTTACATTTGGGGAAAGAGGATGAGAAAAGAATTTAATGTCAAATCCCTCCCCACGGACAGCCTCCCCTCCCTATAGTCGAAATTTCGCTGGAATTGCAATTCACAATTTTCTGAGAACAATTTATCTTTAAGTCATCTTTTTCCTATATACATGCAATAACACGTGCACAGTTACACTGCGATGAGTCATGTTCATTCAACGTTAAAATATACACATACTATCGATAGTCATATATTTCTCGTCTCGAGAAACATTCGTCTAACTTTCTCTAGAAAAAGTGTTCTCTATTTTATTTTTAGAGACTCTATTGTTGATCATTACCTTGGCAATTATGATACCGCGGATGGTGATGCCGATCATGGGACCGAAGCGAATTTGCACACCAGGTTCTATGATGAGTTTGCCATCTCTCTCGATGAACAGATCCTCGCGCAACAAATAAGGGCTCTTCGATATTGACAGTATCCTTTCACCACGAACAACACGGCCACCGTGCAGCTCGTATAAACCGTTGTTGCTTATTGTGCTAGTGTTCCCCAGCGCAGTTGGTTCCGTATAATAGATCGATGTTTGTTCATATCTATCATCTAACCGGGCTCCGGTGGTTAAAACAGCCAGAATCGGCAGCAAAATGCATAACCAGTGCATTTTTCGGCGCATATTTTTGTCATCAAATGGTTCGAATCATCGGTGTATATGTCATTAAATGGAATTTACGAGAGAGACGAGATCAACCACTCACTCCATTGTCCTTTATTCGCTGTTAGTGAATGGATAACCGGCACTCTTGAAGTTTGACGTTTGGATGAAATTGTCGTCTTTACAATATTTCTAAATAAAAGTTCATTGCACGATTTCTTGATATATTACACATAGAATGAACACATATTCCAATTAAGCTTTATATGAACACGTATAGACGATAGAACGATCTGTGGCGTGCACTCATGTCGATAAAGCCTTCACTTCACGAGAATCATTCACTTATCACTGGCTGATCCTTGATGTGTCATTCGCCAATCCGTGTACGTTATACATCTCTATTCCTCATGTCGTGTAATATGTTATACTTTCATTGACTGAGTATGAACTTAGACACAAGTATGAACTTAGACGCTTCGGGTACAATTATTTATATGAAGAAACGCTTGATGCTCACTCGTATCTTCGTGATGAATAAAATAACTGTTGTATACATAATATCCGGCAGATTCTCCTAAAAAAATAATTAATGCACCTTATATGTAACTGTAAAAATGCTGGCTTTTCAAAACAATTGGATTAGCATAACAACAAATTTAAAAAAAGGGACTTATAAAAATACATAAAATAAAATATTGATCAAAGCATTTATCAAACTATTTTATCATAGTGTGCTATCTTTTACTATTATGATAAACAGAGAAATTGACCAAAACTTTATATATACATAAAAATAATAATGCTAAATTAATTCTATAATCTTAATCTTTAATAGATTTAAGGTCAGTTTCTTCTTATAGTGACAATGAAATTTAATCCCATTTTTAATAACTTTTTCATTTTTGGTATTGAATATTTTAATAAATCTAAACTTTAAATTTTATGAAAATCAACTTAAAATTAAATAAGAACTAAGATTTTATTATTTATATATATATTTCTACCTTTGAACCTCCAAATTTTTCCTTTACATGTTTATATCACAGAAATTTTTCCTCTCTTTAAATCCTTATAATTTAGATGTTATAGATTTCTTATCTTTTTATACTCAGGAAAAGCTTGAGAACAAAATAAATAAATAAATAACCGTTACAAAGATTAATGATTTTGTTTTCTCAGAATCACTTTACATAATTTATTATTATTCTGCACATCTCATGTTACTCTATCGTTGTTATTCTTCACATCTCGCGCGAAGACAATCGCAGACATAATGAATCCTCTTTGAATTTTAAATACGAAAAAAACATTCTTCCTGGTAACGTTGGCTGCTCTTTTAAATTCTCGCGAGTCTTGATCATTCATCACTGCTCATTATATATCTATTAATTAATATCATGTCCTTCATACACGTGTGTGAATACGTCGTGTGAATGAATCTCGACATGACGCAGCCAAACAAGGAATAAGCTAAACAAGGAGATCAATGATTTTCCGCAACACTTACCTACGCTATATCCTCGGTCACTCTCAGACGCGGATTCGAATTCGAGCGGCAGCTTCCTGCTTTTTCACGCATCAGGAACAACGAACTGCACGCGTAACGCCGCCGTTATTCGCGCTCCGCTTGACGAAATCTCGTTTTTCACATAAATCGCGAAAGGCCGTTTTCATAGTAGCCGTTACTAGCGCGTCTCCTAACTTATGCGACTTTCATCCGTCAAAATCGAATTCGAAATCGAGTCGCTCGATTATACGCGTCGATCCCGCGTCCGTTTACTCCCCGTAGATCACCGCCAACGACGCCGATCGATCGATCGCGTCAGGTATGCGGATCCGCTAAATCTTCTTGGCCGCGGCGACGCGATGCCATCGTCGGATCATCGGCGAAAAAAATCGGTACTCGCCTGCATCTGGATGGGCTTTATCGAAATCGTGGGCGCGGTTTTGTCACTTTACGCGTACGCACACGGATTCCTTGTCGCGATCGCCCCTTGCGCAATTTGTCACCGTCTCATATAAAGGTACTACGGCCACTACTACCGCGATCACCATGGTGCACTCACTGGTAGCGCGCTGACGCTACACCTACTACGATCCGAGCTGTAGAATGAGTCACGTGATGCACCGAGCATGTAGTACGTCACGCAGCTTGTGAAACAGGTGAGTCTCTCCCAACACTATACTGGGTGTTCCAGAACCATTCTCGTATCTTTTTTTTTTTTCCGTAATTTCTTCGATGAATCTTGGACTTTGATCAATTTTTGAAACATCTGCGATTTTTCACGTTTAACAATTGAATTATCGAAAACTTTTTTCAGAATAGAAAATAAACGAGAAGGTCGTATTTTCTTCGGAACATTTATTCTGACAAATTTTACGTTAGCGGAATATTTTAATTTGAGAAGCTTAGAATTAGTAAATATAAAAAATATTAAAAATTAGAAAGGCGCAATAAACGATGATCTTTTAATGATGATGTTTTATAAAACATCACGCGCAGCTAATAAAATATTAATAAATCTATAATACTTCTCCACATTTTTGATTCATAATTATGCATCTAGCACGGATATGAACCAACCGTCCGTTTTACCGTGGCACCGAAAAGTGAATCTGGCCATGCAGTTTCGTCGGCTCTAAAATGGATCTAGTTGGCACTACTGTATCAGCTAGGAAAAATCGTCTTGCGAACAAACAGTGGCTCCTAGGCTTCTCTCTGGTTGTATGCACGACGATCTCAATCGGAAATACTGATTGGCTATTATTGCAAGAAACTTTCAGAACCCTAGAAATTCTCTATCCGATAGCCAATCGGTATGTCCGATAAACTCGTGTGTATAACAAGTGTAAAAGCACCTTGATAGCAAACGACTGTTTCGTTTCATTCTATTGCCTTGCGCAAGACGTCAAGTGAAAACGTTTGTCCCGGCAAACGTTTCAATTTCTTCAATTTTAGGTGAGTGCAATAAAAATCAATATCGCCATTTTCCGTAACCGCAAAGTTATGTAGTTACCGTTGCGTATTGTTTTCGATCTTTGTACCGTCGCTGAGACAATAAAATTGTTTGCGTTCTTGTTCCAAGAACGCCCGCCAAGAAACCTTTAGCTGACGAGGTGTGTATGATACAAAAATTTACCGGGTGACGATATAACTATATATTGTGACATAACCTGATTTGACAAAAAATAAAAAATGATGTAAATGATCTATAAATATTATGTTTTTTTACTCCAAGTTTTACAAAAGATAAAAATTTATGCTTAATAATAATTTTAAGAAAAACTCGCTGTAAGTTTAGCTGTCCTCTTAAAGTGTCTAATACACAGTAGAAAGTACAATTTTATCTGTATATCTTCTGCTTTTGACAAAAATGTTGAATATATAACATTATTTGTCAGATACAAAAAATTTAATTATATTACAATATAAGACACCAAAATTTCGTTTATACAAGTAACAATATACTTTACTGTAATGTAATACAATTTCCTTTCTCATACAGAAAACACACCGACAAAAATGTCAGGTAAACGGTCTGCAACAACAGAATTGAATCATGATAATTGGAATGAAGAGAACGAACCAGAAGAGGCAGGTACATTTGCAAAAGCAGCAGATGATATACTTGAAAAAAGAGTTATAAAAACAGCGAAACGTCGCTTTTCATCGAGGGATGTAAGTATATGTTTTAACTATTTTGTATCAATTCTATTTCTTTATTACTATTTTGTTTAACTTATTTTAGGGCGCTATGAAAAGCGCATTTGGAACATTTGCAGGTTTTAAAACTACTCCTGCAACCAGTTCGTCTCCATTTGGTTTTTTAGCTAGCGTAAGCACCACTTCTACTTTAACTACTTCTGCTGCATCAACGACAACTGTAAATGCAAGCAGCAGAAATATTGCAAGCAATGGTTCTAAAATTCCTGAAAAAGATGCAAATAAAATGGAAGATACAATTAAAGCGCAGACACTGTCGAGTACAAGTTCAAGCAAAACAATTTTGACCAAGAAAGAGAATGAAAAGACAAAGCGTTATTCGTCAGATTATTACGCGAAGTTAAAGGGACTGAACGAGAGTGTCGCTACATGGATAAAAACTCATGTAGATGCAAATCCATTTTGTATATTAACACCTATATTTAAGGATTATGAGAAATATTTGAAGGAGATTACATCGAAAGAGAGCACCAAGACACAGGCATCGCATACTCCACAATGTATAACACAGGCTGCACAAAATGATAACCAAAAGGATACAAGTACAGAGAAAAAACTTGAAACTTCTTCATTTGACACCTCAAATGCAAATACAAAATCTGCTTCAACTGTAGCAACAGAGTGGAAGCCCGAAAAGTCGATATTTTCCAACATTGCTGCAAATACAAAATCGATATTTGGCAATACAGAACAGAGAATGGAAAGTCCTAAATCTGTATTCACCAATGCGGATGCAACATCTGATAAAGGTAGATCTATTTTTGGAAACATAGAATCGAATGTTGCTGCTAAAAGTATATTTGGTAATGCAAATGTGGAAAGTAATCCTTTCTTGCACAAATCCTCTGCCGTTTCGGACGGAGGCAAGACGGACGAAGAGGATGCGACATCCAATACAAAGTCCGTTGCTCCCACCTTTCCAGTTTCCACTTTTAGTTTTGGGCAAAGTTCCACTACCAATAACGTGACTGCTGGGTTTAGTTTTGGAAGGTAATTTGTTCATTAATTTGCTTATAATTTCTTTATGTGAGATGTAATGTATTTTTTAATGATTTTACAGTGCAAAGCCATTTTCGTTTGCCCCTCAGGCAGTGAAACCACAAGATTCCGAGGATAAAACAGATAATGAAAATAAAGATAAAGATGAAGAAGATGAAGAACCACCAAAACCAGATTTCAAACCAGTAACCGAAGAAGGTGCTGTTTATGAACAACGGTATGTCATAATTTTTACATTGTAATATAATCAGTTGTTAAGATAGAAACTACATCATACATTTTTAAAAGTAGGATTATGTACTTTTTTTTGTTGTAACTTAATTAAGTTCATAATTTTTTTTATAGATGTAAAGTATATATAAAGAAAAATGACAACTTTAGTGACAGAGGTGTCGGGATGTTATATTTGAAACCAACACCAAATGGAAAGACGCAATTGATAGTACGAGCCGATACTGCTTTGGGCAACTTGTTACTCAATATTTTGTTAACTCAAAGTATTCCCATCAAACGCATGAACAAGAACACGATAATGTTAGTCTGTCTACCGATGCCAGATTCTTCACCACCACCAGTCCCAATGCTGTTAAGAGTGAAAACTAGTGAGGTTGCGGATGAACTATTTGAAACATTGAATAAACATAAAAAGTAGAAAATTAAATAAATAAAAGATGACGCTGATCGGAACAAAGATGATTTTTTTGACACAATGTTAAGAATGGATAAATCCTAATTCATACATAACAGAAAATTTGTTTATTAATCAATAAGGTTTATGTCAAGCTTCATTATTCTGTTCATCATTCCATAAAATAAAATTTGTAAATGTAAATTATGCGAATACCTAGAAAAATACATAATATTTAAAGATTACTAATCATCAGTAAAATTGCAAGCAAACAGAGATTTCACGATTAAAAAATGGTACATTTTTTCCAATTCTTATTTCATCTATGCAGATATTGTACAAAAATGTAATTAACATATATATCTTACTAGATTCTATATCTAATAAGAGATATATTCTAATAAGAGATATATATAATCTTATTATTTCTCAAAGGATATCTCTATACTTACATGTATGGCGCTATTTGGAATGATTGTTGCTAATGTAATCAATAATGTAAGAATAATACATTGAACATATATGTACATAGTAGGAACACAATAGTATATATTGCAAAATAGGTGATTTATGCATGTAATGGTTGATGAAATATTCTGTACTATTAATTATAAGTACAAAAAAATACAGATTACATGGAATTACCTGATATTTATTGCATCATTTTTTTATTAAACAAAATCCTTGACTTATTACAAACAAATAAGCAAATATCTGATGCCATTATTTTATATATTGATATATTGTGTAGTAATGTAATAAAACAAAATTTGTATAATTATATTATCAAGTAGAGATTGTGCATAATAAAAAATTAATGAATGTTGGTTTGGTTACAGGATAAGAAGACATTGATTTTATAATACATAAGGTTGTAAATTATCAATATTTTATACTTTGTCGTTATTTATACATTTATTATATGTACTTGGCGAAATTATTTCTATCCCAAAATTTTATCTCTTTCAAAAGTATATATTTTCTTTGGATTATACACGACTATTATATATAAATATACAAGGAATATATTAAACAATGTACTATTCTTTTCATAATACATGCGAGAAAAATAATAATATCGTCACGAACAATTTTTTAGATAAAAATTGATTAAAAAACATCTAATATTTGTATGATATATACTAAATTTCTTATAATTAGCTGAAGCCTTTAAATTGCGTCTGTATCCCCGAAATCTCTCGTATATATATATAACGATTTTTTTGTGTTATCTATATAAATCTATACCACTATATAAAAGCTTAGGAAGCTTTTCAGATTTCACAGAATTTAATTTTTGCTACTCAAATATATTTACACGTGTTGCATCCAATTTAATAATTCCTTGTTGCTTATGTTTATATCTAGAATAGAATTATACATACAGTATGTAAAAATCTGAAACATGAACATTCTTAGATGCTTAACATGTTCAATAATATTCAACGATATACAAGTTTTTGTCTAATGTAAATATTTCACATGTGTTGTGAAATTGAAGAGAATAGATACATTCTGTATATACAAAACTAATATAATTGCTTAGATCCTATATATTGTGTAGACATATAATTTACATAACAATATATTATTAATATGGCCTATACAAGAGGAGAAAATAATCAGATTTTTTTTAATAGAAAATTATGGTGCCATGTGATCGCCTGTGTACTGTTTGTCAATTGTACTATTATACGCTTCATGAAAATGTTGTACGATATAATGTATGTATAAACAGTTACTTTTTCAAGTTCTTTGAGCCATAAACGGTGTTAAAGCACCCATTTGTCCTAGGCCTAGTTGAATGTGCTGCATATGAATTTCTACACAGTTTTGAAACACTTGTTGATTCTGTGGACTGAGTTTTGATCTTATCTGCTCCATAGTACCTTGCAAGACTTTGAGCTCATATGCATTTCGATCAGAATCTGATAAGCTCTGTGTTATGCAAAAATATTAAGAAAAAATATTTTTAGCATCAAACAAATGAAAATATAAAACAAATTTATTTGAAATATCGATTTATTTTACCTTTACTTGTAACATCAGCGCAGTCAAATCCGTCACCAATTGATTCATCTTTCCTGGTGCTTTGTCATTTATCATGTTATTTCTAGCGACCATGTCTGCCGCTTCTTGCTTACATTTTTCTCGGAGATGCGATGGGGCTAACATCGCCGCCACGCTAGGTTCGGGCGCCATTTCCTGACACAATTCTTGTATATCGTTCAAAAAATCTTGTAGGGCTCCATTCATTCTTTCTAATTCGACGACAATTCTGAAAACGACAGGATATAACAAAGATGTGATTTATTAAGCATGATTTATCATTAAGCATCTCTATACACATATGATTAGTCCATATATATCATACCCTGCATATCTTCTTTCAAAATCAGGAGGTAACGATTCTCCGAACGAACGTCTCTTTTCAGCTTCTCCATTCATTTCTTTCAATTTTTTAATTTTAATCTTTTTATTTGCAAGTATCTTATTCACCTTTACCATAAGTTCGAGTAATTTCAATGGATAACCGTTCATTGTGCCACCAATATGCGGTTTCTTCGGTATGGACACAGATGCATTGGATATCAAAGGATCGTTAGTTAATCGCGGGGATAGTTTCATTGTGTACGGCGGCGAAGGTACGTATTGTAAAGGCCGCGGTCTGAATTTCTGAGCAAACGATGCAACGCTGATCGTTTCCGGTGATTCGTTCGACTAGTATATTTTAAATAAAATACGTATTAATATAAAAGTGTATGCATGCCAAATTCGACATACATTTTTCGAAGAAGAAAATAAGCGACATACCAAAACTTCATAATCCGGAACACTATGCGTTCCTAGTCCAGCTCTCTCAAACGTGATTCTATAGGTATTATTGCTAGTATCGACGGCGTCGATGCTTCCAGTGAACAAACCATCTTGAGGTTTCCTCAATCTCGCTGTCACTTTTGTACCAATTACTAATTGCAACGGTATTTCAGATGGCAAATCCTTGAAGCTATTTATGTCTGCTGTTTTCCTCTGCTGCAGCATCCGTATCTTTTGCCGTTTTCTCTCCAGTTCGCGTCTTTCCTCTTCAAAGAATGATTGTGAACATCTTCGTGGTTTGCCCATCATTCTTCTAATCTTACACCATTCCACACGTGTAAGTTTGCGAGTTTTCAATTGTGGAAATGATTCTTTCAGGCATATCATGAAGTCGTTATCGCCTTCGAATAATATCCTGCAAAAAAAAAAAACATTATGTAGTATTATGTGGAGTTTTCAATGGAAATGATTCTTTCAGGCATATCATGAAGTCGTTATCGCCTTCGAATAATATCCTGCAAAAAAAAAACATTATGTAGTATTATGTGAAAACTGTCTGCTACATATTTCTACAGGACTGTTATTAATATTTTTATTTTTCAATATACTCTTATTTTGTTATTATTTTTTTATACGTACTTATCAATATTGCTGTAAAACCACTCGTAACAGACCCATTTATGCGCCTTTGGCAGCTTTAATAAATTTCTCAGTCTCATACCAATTTTCTGTCCTATTTTTCGATCTGGTGATGTAGGTTGTGGCAACTTATCAGGTCCCTTCTCCTGCTTGATAGGAGTAGTTGTGGGAGTTGTTGGTTGTGACAAACTTGTACTTTTTTTCGGTTCATTCAATATCTTGGTGTGTCTTTTCAATGGTGATGGACGTAACATCTTTTTAGGAGACTGTTTTGTCTCTACATTCAATGGATCCTTCTTGATCCTATGAATATGATTATATACATGTTTTATATTTTATATATTTAACCAATATTTATTCAATTATCATTAATTCCCATTTTTAAGTACAAAAAAGATAGTTTACCTATGATGTGGATGATTTATTAAGACATCATCATAGAATAACTTGTTTTTTTTCCTAATTCTTGCAGGCATTCCTCTGCGGTTTAACACTTGCACTGGTTGTGTCGGGGGATTCGGTTTGGCAGGTGGTTGAGTGCCTACTCTTTGTAAACCAAGAGCTGCTGGTCCAAGTTCTGGTATTGGTTCAGGTTCCTCAGTATCCATTTGTTGATCCATTGAGTGATTCGAAATATGCTGCTCATCCATGTCCATCGTATCGTCATTGATTATTTCCGTTTTAATTTCATCAACCGATGGATATCCACCATTTTTTATGGATAGTAATGTTTCGGCAGATTCATCTAAACAAATTTGTTTCAAACTGATATATATATGTATATGATTGAATACAATAATTTTCTTAAAATTAAAATTTATGAATCATATATACATAACATAGTTATCTCTATAAATAAAATTACTAATGCTTAAATAAAAATTATTACAATAGTTACATACAACTCTAGCAATAGAGTATGTATAAAAGTTTATATAATTGTGCAAAAAGAATAAAGTTTTAAAAAAAGAATTTAAAAAATTATATATATACACACATTTGAACATTATAAGTTTCAATATATATCAAGTATTAAATTCATATTTTTTTATAAATTCAAAAATAAAAGACCAACTTTTCTCTTTCTTCTCTCTTCTCTAATTCAATTATAGGAAATAGGACATACTTTTGTTTCCTCATAAAACGCGATAGGATTTTATCCGAGGATAAATTTAAAAAGCGTTGTATATTATATCGATGGGAGATTGGCCAGAATATCGACCGTACAAACTATTCATATGGCGTAAGAAGTAACATAACCAAACACGAGTGTTTGGTAAACAGTCTACGCGCATGATGATCGAACGGAGCGTCCAGTTTATATCGCGGGACAACCGATCTAAATCGGCTCGTTAAGATATGAAACGCGGACAGTTCGCCGTCCGGTCCGATATGACGTATCGCTGGCATTAGATAGTCACGGCCGTCCCGCTTGAATCGTATGTTGGACATTTTTGAAATTTTAAACCCGACACGCTCCCGATCGCCGTTCGAACGGCGATTACGATCGCCACCATCACGTCTGATGGCGTGCGATCTACCAAATCGATAAATCGTGAACGCGGATTCCGCCGGGCCTGGTCGACGACGGCCACCGTGGCCACGCGTCGCGTTAATTTCATCGAAAATAACAGAAAGTTTACTCACTTTCAATCATGTCCGCCATGTTGACATCCAGTGATGCATCATGGGTACGCGGCGCGTACAGAGGCTCACGGTCCGCCATCTCGCGTCATTAAATCTGGTTGGTCCGCTATCGCGGGGTCGCGTACTAAAATTTATTCCTTGAAGTAGAGTAGCGTCCGATTGACCAATCGGGACAAAGAAATTCTTCCTTCTAATACCGGAAAGTAAATTTTGGAACTCTACTCGAAAAGCGTGGGCATTCTGGCATCACTGCCCGAAAGTGTGTGTGTTGTGTGTGTGTCACGCGCTATTTCTCACATTATGAATTTTCTTGGAGCGCGAGGTATTGGTAAGAATACAAAAATTGTTTATACAATACATTAGTTGATGATTAAATAAGATAAGATACGTTGTTTTCTTATCAAAATAGTCAGCGCGTACAGACTTCATTGTTCAAAACGCAATATTTTTAAAGTTTATTCCTCTTCCTTCTTCAATATAATAAATAACTTAAAACTATACATATGGCCAACTTAACGCTTAAGCAAGCCAGACTGTTTATAAATATATATTTGAATTTGTTTATATATATTTCTTAAGACTGCTTGTGTTATATATTCATATAATAATGTGTTAAATATTCGCATATAACCGTTCGCCAATTTTAGTTTTTTTCTTACGAAAAATCTAAATTATCCATTAAACGATATCCCATACAGCACCGAAAGAGTGGGTTAAATAAAGTAACCTTATATTATAAAGATAGTTATCTTACTTTGAAAATTAAAGTATGGTTGGTTTGTATTTGTTCCATATGTCTGCAGTTTCTTGTTTCTCTCAAGATTATGATGTCTTTCTCATAATTATTCTTTTTTCTTCTTTCCTTCACTTATATTTTCTCCCTGGAAAAAAAATCTATTTTTTTTCAATTTACCATTCGTGTGCCTATTCATTATCTCTTTAATCTTTATTCTTTATCTGCGATAATATATCAAATGCTTTAGCGCACTTTAGCTATATTTCTTATTCATATGTCCATTTGTTTCATTAATTTCTTACAACATGTACATGTATATATCTATCAAAATTTATATTTATACATTTTCTATATTATGCACAGCTCTAAATTAATATGCAGTATTGACAATATTGATATATCTTGTTGACGATAAGGATCAATTACGCGAAGAATTGAAAGATTTGGTAAATGACAATCGCACAGAGGAAAGCAAGTATGAAGACAGTGATGGCTCAAACCATCATAAGAATCGTAAATGAAGTGATGATGAGGATTTTGATGATCGCTTGGAAGATGAAGATTATGATTTGATTAAAGAAAATTTAGGTGTTAGATTTGAGAGGGTATGTTTTATGGATTAGATTATCCTTAAGAAGAAAAGAGAAAAACATTTATATTGAGAATCTGATGTCTTGTTATAGAAATGTTTTAAACGTCTTCGAAGGATTCAGGATGAAGAATCAGAGGAAGAGCAAGAAAAGGAAGCTGAAAGGGATGCCATCGCCAATGAATTATTTGAAGGTTTTGGAGATGTATTACACGTACATCAGAGGTATATCTATTATAGTGCTTAACCCTTTATGGTCTAGACCATTTTTGAGATTTTGTTCGAGAAGCTCCATGTGCAATTTAGCTATTTCCAAATACTTGAATTAAAGAAAGGTCAATAAAACGAGCTAAATTGCTTGTTGAAATTGCGTATATGTGTATATTCAATGAAATATCTAATCATAATACATGTTGCTATTCATATGTTTTGATTCCACACTCGGGATCCTCTTCAGTGGATTGTATAATTGCTAGGATATTACGGAAAACGATCTAAAAAAATCCAAATTATTTAAATAATTCAAATTATTTTTTAAATTTCATATTATTTGTAAATATAAATAAATACACACGTCACAAAAGTCATCGAAACAATCTTCATAAAATATGCTTTATAAATATGATTTCTATTTAGACCGAAATAACTTCATACAATAGGCATTTCTTAAAAAATTCAAGTTTGTCTTTATTTTAATTTTGAATCTTTGATCATTAATCTAATGTTTTAACACATTAACAACATGATTTCCACAAGTGACCCTAATATAATAAAAAAAAAAAAAAATAGGATCTTTAATGTTTGTTTGACTCAGCTATCTACACTTATACTATACAGTTTGTATGTTTTGCCATATTTCAATAATCTCTCAGATTACATAACATGCATAAAAGAAGGAAAGGAGTCTCCACAAAAGTAAATGCAATAATAATAATACTACAAGAAATATTTTCGAGATTGTTAAAATGTTTATAAATAGTCATATATTCCTATATCGAACTAGACTTAACATAGGATCCAGCAACAAAATGTGATGTCGAATTAAACAAAGAGTTAAAATATATAAAGATTAATATGATACATTGATTACAGTATTTGATTATGCAATCTGCACTTGCTTGTGGCTTTCCTTATGTGTATCGGTTTGATAGCCCTTTGAAATAGTGTTTGATATTTCATTAAAGCAGCCATTTAATTTTCCACAAATACATTTATAATTATAAATGTATTTACGTTTATAAGTATTTTTTTCTGCTCTTTTTACAGACCTATCCTGGAAAGGTTCTGTTCTTGTATTTGCCACGCACTCGTTGTCGCCATGAATACATGATGTCCGAGGGCTTCAAATTCCGCGGACAGATGTTTGGTACAATGAGCGACTTGTTGCGCTGGTTCAAGAAACATTTCAGAGATCCGGTCCCTATTCCTAGTACACTACGCGGCGCGATGACTTCTAGAACACCTTACACTGCTATACCGGGAGCAGTCAGCGGTAAGTCTATATTATTACCATAAATTGTAACTATTTAAAATAAAATGTTAGATTATATATTTTAAAATATATTTTACATTTCATTCTCTCTCTACACACATACACACACATACTGCAGTGAATATATTAACATTACACAAACAAACAGATTATGCAAACTATATTACAAAACAAAACAGATGTCATCTTATTCTGCATTATTAGCTATTTTACCAAGAACTCTATCCAACGAGATGATTGAAATTATCTATGAATGGTTCTGTACATTGTCATTTTGATTGTTACACAAATGAATCAAGAAGCAATCCAACGAGTTGCGCAGAATCTTTCGCATCACATGTTGCATTTGCTGTCGCAAGTGGCGGATCAGACACCACATCATTATCTGCCATACACCCCGGAGACGGCCGACGCCGCCGGTTGACGGCGGAGTGTATCCGAATATACCATACACGTCGTCTGGCCAGACCCTATTCATGACCTCGTACCAAATGCCTCATCACACATCGCATCATGGCCAGCTTACTCCCAGATACGGCCAACAAACACCAAGCTATCATCACGGACCCTTCGTGCATCCGCCGCCAGCTTCGATGATACCCGGTCATCACAGATCCGTTCAATCGCACAGACCTATGCCACTCTTATCCACTCCCTCCAGTGATCCAACAGATTGGAAAAAGGCCGAAGCGTGGGCATGTCTAAAAAGTAATCCTCTGTTATGTTAATAAAGGCTATGATTAAATGTTTATGTCTAATAAGATATTTATTAACCTGAATGCTTTACAATAATAATGATGGATGCAAAATGTGCTCATCGTATATTGCTATATAATACGATATCCTGCCATATCCCTTGGCTTTGCATAAGATATCTTATTAGGATATCCTGGACGTTACTTACTGAGTCATCTCTAGGATTGCATTTGGAAATCTGGGACAATTTGGGATATCTTCAGGATAAAGTGTGCTGTGTGGGATATAATATTACGGTATAAACTCACGAATTATTTTTTATAATGATCAATATTTTTTATAATGATTGATATGCAAGATAGAAAAATAAATGTAATAAAATTATGAAAAAGAATTTATTTCCGAAATACGTATATAAAATTGCTATAACTTTTTATATTTTTTTGATTTACAAAATGACCAATATGAATATAACTTTTATTGAAGAAGACTGCATTATACATAATGATGTTAAATTATAAATATTAAATCATTATATGTAATAAAATAAACAAAAAAAGGACGTCTTGCAATATTAACTTAACTAATTATAAACATTTTCTAATGCTTTTTATGATATAAATACTTTCATTGATAAAAAGAGCTGAATTAACTAATCCTTCGTATGAAAAAAAAACTAAATAGTTTAAATCTCATTCAACTTTCCTAAGCAAAACAATGGGGAAAAAGTAGCTGAATACAGCAAAGTGTACATATTATAAAGTGTAATAACGATTTTTGTTCATGAGATTTAGCACTTTGTTTTCTCATATTACATATTATGTTATTATGTCTTCAAATTAGATAAAAGTTGAGTGAGATCTAAACTATTCAGCTTCTTTTTCCCCGTTGTTTTGCTTTTCATCTATCACAAAGATAACATTAAACAATAAGGCATTCATTAGCATGGTAATGACATTCCTGGCTTCACGACTTTTATCATCTATTCGTTTAACAAGGGTATATCTACCGGTATATTGTTCATTGTTACAATAAGCTTCTTATTATTGAGGTACAAGTCGTACGAAGTATTATAAATATCGAATATCTCAAGCTCAATTCCCTGTTTCAGAGGTTCGTGTGTGATAATACCAAGATGATCAGCGTATAACCAAATTTTCACAGGATCTTTAAAACCGTCGAACGCCGCATCGAATCTCGGTTTTATATCTACGAGCGTAATGAAGACGTGAAGCTGCATATTTACGCCATTATCCTCTTCGGTCATTTCGGTTCGTTTTCGAGCCAACGACAAACTAATTATTTCCTCTTTGATTATCTGCATTTCACTAAAGAGAATAATGTAATCGGTATTCTCAGAAAACTCCGATATATCTTTTAACGAAGTTTTGATCGTGTTTGCAATTAATTCCTTGCGGTTGACGATCACCTTGGCCAATATACTATCCATGTCCTTAATGCCATAAAACACACGATAGTTTCATCAGATAGTATAATTTTATATTTTTTTTTGCAACTTCTGTATTAGATTGATCATTTCCCGCGCTGTATAGCTCCTCGTCGAGAGTGATGTCCAGGAGGATTAGTATGCTTCCCTTACTATGAGCTTCATATTGCTCAAGTTATTGCTCAACAAATTAGATTAGAAACAAAAAATTTCGCGTTGTCGCGTATTTATCTACAATCCTCTAATTTTACCTCAGGAGGATTTTAACTCACTTTCTTTTCTTAATTTCATGTTCTACAATTTTTATTTTATAATACTTTTGTTTATTTTTAAAAAACGTTTTCTCTCTTTGCTATAAATCAAGTTTACAAACAATTTTATCTGAGAACTTTTTTATTTAACTTATATTTTTTATAATTTTTTCATGTTATCCATCGATCTTTTTTAAGGATATGACTTAGTCTTTGTATATCAATCACTCTTTATTTTAAGGGTATCTCTTCGTAACGAAAACATGACTTTCTCAAAATAAAGATTCATATTCAGATTCATTTTAGATTAAACTGTTAAATACATATATTATCCTGCAATAAATAGAGAAATAATGACTGAATTTGAACATGTCTCGATCGTTTGAATATGTCTCGATTGAACACAATTGAATACGATTTATATGTGAAAAATCCTAAATACCGGTCACTATCTGCCAATCGTGCACCTCTAGAAAAAAGTTTTTAATTTTTAATTTTATTTGTTTTTGTTACGAAGGGATACCCTTAAAATAAAGAATGGATGATACAAAGATTAAGAAAGATAAAAAAACAACATTATATTCCAGCCTTCATTTTGAGGAAGTCATGTTTTCATTACGAAGACATGTCCTTAAAAAAGATCGATGGATAACATGAAAAAATTATAAAAAGTATAAGTTAAATAAAAAAGTTCTCAAATAAAATTTTTTGTAAACTTGATTTATAGCAAAGACAGAAAACGTTTTTTAAAAATAAACATTTTTAAATATTCTTTTGTTGAAACTGATATCTGATTTTGGGAATAAAAAAGTTTATTTTATATATATATATACATATATATAAGTATGTATAATTATGTATGTATAACATATATAAGTATGTATTCAACGAAATTCATTTAATTTCTTCACCAAATACAGGTAATTTTAGATATAACGTATTCCATCTATAATAACTCACATTGTTAGATTATTTATTATTACTATCTTACTATTACTTATTATTATTTATTATCACTTTAAGAAAAATATATTAAAATTAATAGCCGCTATCTATTTAACAAATTAGAAATAGGGAACCATACATATTTAATGTGTTTATTTCAAAGATATTTGTATTTTTATTACCGTTGTCACTCATTCGTCCATTTTAGAGACCCTCTAATCAGAGACTGGCCATAAGGGGGCCACTTTTGATTAGTCTAGAATTTTCATCAACTCCCGCTCATATTTGAAATACACTAACCTTACCATTAACATTATTCAGGAATACAAATAAAAATAAACATTTAAGAGGAACTAAATATTAATGTTCTTTTTATGTACAAAATTTTAAAACAATATAAGGCGATTTAAAAAAGGATATTAACTTACCCATCTCTGCTTTTTGATATACTAATTGTGAGCCGCAGAGCTCCGGACTTACATTTAAGTTGGAATAGAAATTATATACTATTTTCTTTTATAATAAAAATCTTGGATTACGTTTCAAAAAATGTCTACTCCGAGGAAATCTTTATTCGATATGAATCGGCTCGGAAACACTCGGATCGGAAAGAATATTTTGGAACGTAACCTTGATATGCATAAATATGTATATTTTTTCTCGATTGTCTTACTTCAAGCGGTACTATATATACATTTTCTCTGCTTATCTTTAGTTTTAATCGATCTTAAAGCAAATAACAGATATACGATTATGTATCTCATTTGGTTAACGATAGCATCTTTGACGTACACAAACTGTTTTGCTATCGATGGTACGCTTGTTAATGTTAATAAATATTGCAGAGATAAGGACAGATTAATTACATCCGAGGAGAACGACGAATATTTGCTTGTCAGTGCCGAGAATCATACGACTATTATATTAGCATGTCGTTATTGGTAAGAGATTCACACGAAAATATACGCAATTGTAAAAATAAGATAATACGCATATTATATATGAATCTGCAAATGAATAATGGTTCTAATCGTTTATATAAATCAAACCAGAAATGACCGAATTTCTTTAATCTTTCTTTTTTTAATTAATTATTATTTAATTATTAATGATGTCTCAAACACACACATACATATATATGAAGAATATACATATTATTCGAATCAACGTATTTCTCGGTCAATTGTTGGGAATCCAAATTTTCATAGAAGCAACGATCACGAGGAATCTCAACCGAAAATTTGGTACTACCAAGATCGGTATCAAAAGAGACCGGAAAAAGAAGTCGAATTGGAAATGGATAATAACATTTCGTACAATAGAATCTACACGAAGCCAGATCTTTCTCTGGTCATTAAAAGCTTTTCAATCGCCGACGCTGGTATTTACCGATGTCACGGTAAAGAGGGACAAGAAAAAGAAAATAAATATAATTATAGGATTGAACGTAAATTTATGGCATAACAATTTAACATTTCATTTTTATATTATAATGTATGATATTATATTGAATATCTTTGATCTTTTTAGCTACATAATATATTTTTTTAAACGTCAAGTTATCAAATTGGAAAAATTGTTGGTTAATTTATTATACGATATAAACATCAACACACACACACACGAACAATTTATATTTTCAATAATATTTGTTACTTATGTATATTTGATATATAATTTCTTTTTGTTAGAATATTTATTGTTCATCCCCTGAATCTAATATTGTCAATTTTTAATAGTAATCCTTAAAGATATTGGTGGTGAGTTTGTAGAAGAGGGGAACATAACTGAATGGGAAAAATATCGTGAAACATACTTGTGGCCTGTCACTACGAGATTTGCAGTAAATTAACCAATTTAGCTGCTTAAATTATAAACAAACTAAATATATAAACTATATCCTTTCTATCCTCTTTCTGTCGTATTATATTTGGAATACAAAGCCATTTTATTTAAATTACATAACTATAATATATGCATCTTGTGGAGACTAGTAATCTTCTAAATTAGGAGAAAGGAGTATGTTAAAAAGTCGTCGATTTTTGCCCCCAGCCGGGACGTAAAATTTGGATGGTTTCTTATAATTTTTTGGGCGTACAATCACGTGGTGACATTTATTTGCCGTTAAAATGTGAGGAAAATGTATAAAAATCGTAAAAAGTCCATTAAAACACCATATTTATGAGTGTATTATTCGGTGATCGAGAAAGATATGGTTTTTTTATGTGAATATATAAAATAATTGGCACTTAATGGATTTTTTACGATTTTTACACATTTTCCCCACATTTTAACAGCAAATGAATGTTACCACGTGATTGTACGCCCAAAAACGCGCGCTCGCACATGCTACGCAAGTGAAATGGTGATTCAGGTAAAAATTACAGTCCTTTCTCTCACGTTTTTACAGGCATTTTTCGAAGATGCGTAAGTTGTAGATCGAGAGGAGAACTTGGCTCCTGTAAGGATCCTTTTATTATGAATTCTACGCAAATTGCACTTGAAAAAGGTGTAGATGCGGTACCGTGTGTTTCTGGATGGTGTGGAAAAATAATTGAGAGCCAAAATTTAAATAATGGTGAGTTATTTTGCTTTTAATACATTTATATTCGGCAACATATACAATTTATATTTTATTCTATAATAAAAATACATATTTCTCCGATTTATATTAAAATTTATATTATTATTAAAGTTAAATTAAGTATAATAAAAAAGATTTTATAATTTGATATTAGCACAATTTTATTCTGTAAAAATTTGTTTAAAATTTTGGTAAATTTATACTGGACAGAATATGGTACCGCCACGCAGAGATTGTGCTTCCAACGAGGTCCCGATGACAACGAGGAGAGATGTGCTTATACTGTGTGGAATTACAAAAAAGTGTATATGTGTCTCTGTTATGGAGACCTTTGTAATGGAGTGATGAGAACAAGCGTCAATACATTTTTAATAACAATAGCTATATGTTTAGTACGATGGTTAGTTTGAGGACATAAATAATTAATATGAACGGGCTAAAATGATTAAACTTATTGTGAGCGTTTTGTAAAGCACACAAAAAGACACAAGAATCGGCACTTTGGTGGATATGTTTGTGTATGTTGAAATAATGTGTTTTTTATAAAACATATTCTACAATAAGCATAGTCACACAAATAAAGTGTATTTTATTATGTATATTTTATTATGTTAGATATATATTTTATTTTAAATATTTAGATGTATTTTTTGTTTTAGTTTACTAACTAATTTTCTTAATTTCTAATTAATTTTTTTGTAATGAAAAAGTAGAAAAAATGTTTGCCATTTAACGTAATTGTATGATGAAATCCTCCTGAGGTAAAATTAGATTAGAAACAAAATTTCGCGTTGTCGCGTACTTATCTATAATCCTCTAATTTTCTAAAGCAAATTTTCTAAGCAAAAACAAGCAAATCTCTAAAGAACTTTTTGTCTTAGTTTATCGGTCCCCTACACACTCCTAAAGTTTTGACATTTAAATTGGGGAGACCCTGTATATGTGTGTGTGTGTATATATCATCATTAATTAGAATTTTAAAAGATTACTCTTAAACATATCATCTCTGTTTTTCTTTTATCTTTGAGCAATTATATTTTAATTTCTAATATATTGTATTTTGTTTTAGTGTATCACAAAAAGATATATATGATACATTTTTTATTTATAAAAGATATTATATATTGCAAATTAAACTTATATATGATTTTTCTCTAGAGCACAGTAATATCTCTACTGGATATAAATAACTTTTTACTGGGTATAAATAACTTCAATCTGATCACTCTTAGTTTAATTTTGCTTCTCAACACCTTGCCTGCGAAACGGAGATCTAGGATTTAAACTACCCAGAACTTGTCCATGCAAACCATTGAACCTCCTCTCTTCCTGATTTCGCAGCAATGCTTTTGCATGCGGAAAATCATCGAAGAAAAGCTCACCTAATCCATAGAGATATTTAACTGCCATCATTGCTTCACGGCCAGTTAATAAATACGGGTCTTGTTCTACAATCAAAACAAACTAAAATTAGGAACATATTGGTACTAAACAAAAGCGTTGTGTTATTATTGTATATTACTCAAGACTTAAGTAAAAAACTACGTATAATTAATTTCTTCCTAATTATTTTTTTTCCAATGTATATTGGAATCTCTAATTGGTTTTCAGAGTATAAAAGTATAGTTGAAAATATAATTGAAAGTATAATTAAAAATATAATTAAAAGTACGTAATCAAAAGCAAATAGATGTAAATGAATTTTATCAACCAAAATTGTCGGTGAAGAAAGATACTTTTACCCTCGAATTTGTAGAAATTAGGAAGACCACGTTGCACCTCGTGCCAACTATATCCGAGATCATTGATGTCAATCGGCGGCAGGAAGACACCGACCGGCCACAGGGATTCAACGTTTTCGGAACTCGTTATCGGTATCGTCTGCTGTACGTGATTTCGCCGTGGACTCGTTCTGTAATTATAATCTGTAAAAATATATTACGTATCGCAAATACAAATAATTTTTATCTATACTAGAAATATCTCAAGAAACATTATTTATACAGATTACTACAATACTATTATACTATTAGTTAATTATATTAAAATAATTGCAGAAATATAAGAATATAAAATAGTCACCGAGATCCTTAGAACGCTTTGTCGAGCTTCTTCGGCCGATCGAGATAAATGACTTTTGAGCCAATGTTCGATCCCCTGAAAAGAAACGAATATATTAAAATAATTTAATGCAATATAAAGCATTACTGCGCAATTTATGCCTAACCGTCTGTTGTGATGCTGTGCTCGTGTACATTGGAGGGTGATACAAATTTCACATGCACATTGGCGAGCGGCAGGGAACTGACCATCGATACCGCGAATAGCAGTAATACCACTGTTATCTGAAATTAAAATAGCGGTTTATTTTATAATTTGGAATTAGCGAAGTATATATTATCATCACCGACGACTTATTCGTGAGTCGCAACAAATGTGAGAAAAGCGGTT